TAAGTTTGGTGGGACGGAGACTGCGAGTCGAGCGCCCTAACCACCTAGCCTATATATGTGTAGTTAACTTTGATGAGACACTTCTTATTCATTCGTTCAAACATTAGTGTGAAGCCAGAAAGTTGAATTATCTTTATAATTCGTATTCACATTTTTGTCCTTGGTGAAACTTTAATAAAGCCCTATTTAACAACGTTTAGTAAGACGTCGAACCCAAGACTTATAAAATCACAAGAGAAGGCATGTGACCATCAATAATATTATCAATGTATAAGGATAAGTCCTCGAGACGTCTTCTATGACTCTGTATGATAATTGACTTTATTAAGACTATACAGCAGTCTTTTGATAAGATGTATAAACGAAATATTAAAACAAAAAATGAGAATTGTGTGGGGCGGAGGAGTGGGGGTCGCACTTTTTTATTTTAATCTGTCCAACTATCACCAGCCAACATTTTAAAAGTAATAAATGACTTTATTGTCTGTCCACGTAGCATTTTTAGTTAAAATTTCTGTGGGAATTAAAAAAGCTGATTGAGGTACTCGCTTATGTCCATGGCACAGAAAAGAGTAAATATGTGAGAATTTACCAATCGATAAACATTAGAAACTGTCAGTTGTATTAACAAGAAATAGATTTTCTAAGTGCAATAAATTTAGAGAATTTTTGGACAGAAATATGAAATACAAAGGTTAAGGCTACTAGAAACAATAATTTCGTTATTTTTCTAAAAATATCCCAAGTGCTAAATGTTATTTTCAACTAAAAAAAAAATAGTGTCTTTGCCTTCCAAAAAAAGAAAAAAAAAGGTGTTTTGTTCAACGATTCTAGCCGATTTACGAGAGCTTTAAGCATACACAATCAGGTTTATGTTTGTTTGTGTTTTTTTTTATTTTAGGGATAGAGGGCGTTTTAACACTAGTAATGAGTGACCTTATAACAAATTTGTTTTATTTAATTGGACACTCAGTGTTTCGGTTTACAGCTTCAGAGGTGTTCCACTAAAACAGAAATCGTAACTGATAGTACAAAACTTTGATAGAGGGTGTGTTTTGTTTGTTTTAACAGGAACAATAATATTTCAATAGAAGACTATGGCCATCTACAACGATACAGTACTCCGAATAATTTAATATATGTCCAACAAAACACGATAAAAATAAAATAAATGCTCCAAGCAAAATAACATGAAAATAATTTTAAAAATTTCTGTAAGATAGTGTATATATACCGAAAATTAGAATTAGCCTTAATATATTCTAGATTATTATAACATATATAGAATTTAAGGAATTGTAAAATTATAATTACAATATTTAGAAAGTTTTAACTGATTAAAGTCAATAGATTTGCGAAGAAAATTATAGACGTTTAACAAAATAGTACTAAACCATTTTTTCTATGTCCGAATTCAAATAAAGTTTCAGTATCAGATATTCCAATATTTATTTCAACTTCAATAGAATATATAATAGTTATTAATATTCTTATTATTTAACTAATTATATTAATGTATCTGTACAATATAGATGAAATCTGAATTTAAGCTTTATTTCAAAAATGTGCGCGTTAAGAACATTAGGGGAAAAACTCCTACCCATATAAAAGCAAACAATCTGTCAAGTTTATGGTTAAAACAGGTTGTATTATAAATACAGAAGTTAAGTTGACTTTTTACTGTTAAGGTGCTAAAAGTTTGTTTGATATAAAGAAAAAAATCAGTTATAAGTAAATCAAGCAAAAAGGAAGAGCTTTCAAATGAAAAGTGTAGACCGAAACAACATTATTTACACGTTTAAAGTTAAGAGCTCGTGTAAAATAGTTAAAATACATATATTCTAAGAACATATGTGTGAGAACAAATAATAACACACGTCAACCACACGACATCTGCAATATTCGCTGTCGACGAGACCTTTCGCTCAATACCAGGGCTCATCAGGTTGGCTAGGATACGAGAGACCGGTCTAAGTGTTATTCATATCGTTAATTTTCATGAACAACGACAGTTATGTTGTGAACAAGATTAAGTAAATAAATTTTAATTATCACATTACTCATATTACTCATAAATCTCTTATTTTAACAATTCAAAATTAGCAAATTTTTTTTTCTCTAACAGGACAGTTGTTTTATTAGTTTTCACTGTGAAAAATATCACCAATTGTTCAAGCAGTTTGCTAATATGAACAGCGTTTAAACAACTATTGTCTTATCCTAGCCGGCCCGAAGAGTCTTAGTATTGAGCGAAAGGCCTCGTCTACACTGGATATAGCAGATAGTGTGGTTGATATATTGCTGTACACTTTTCTTTATTTTCATTCAGAAATTCTTATACTTTTTTATATATATATATATATATATATATATATAACTTAATAGCGAGTTAAATAAATACGTACTTAAGTTTAGTAATTATTTAGTACGTTAACTTTAATTAAATTTTAAGTTAAAAGTC